TTCATCTACATTACCCCGTTTAATCCATGGAACATCGTGATGAGCCACCAGGACTGCTATCTCCAGCTGTCTTGAGCTACAAGAGGTTAAGTGTCTTGCTCAAAATCACGCAGCCTCGGTCTCCAGGCCAAGTTTTCAACTTGGCCCATCTGTGCTTTTATGCAACAAATTTACTAGTCAAAGATCATAGAAAATGGGCTGAACACTTTGTGTTTCCCCTTACCCACCATCCTTGTTAAACTCATACTTGGGTGCCACAATCGCACTAGTTGGGTGTCTAGAGAGAATTTCCAGAAGGAAAAGATGGAATGCAGGCATCTCGTTGAGCTATGAAGCCACAGTGCTGGGAGACCAGGATGGCTAGGATTCACAGGACAGGATATTGAAGAGGAGAGAGCATTGCAGACAGCTTGCTCTAAAGGTCTGCATGGGGATCCCTTGAGTCCTCAGCTAAGTTTTGAGAAACACATCATACATATAAAGAGCTTCCCGAAGCTGGGGAAATACCCTCAAAAAGGCAGAGAAAATACTACTCGGAGTTCACACAAGGCCAGGAATAGCTCAGGTTCCCACTGAGCAGAGTGGAAAATTTCTTAACTCAGAGGCATATGGCAGGTACTCAGGGGTGGGAACCAATTACCTCTAGACCAAAGGCTGCTCTGCTCCTGCCCACAAAGCAGGACACAAAGGAACATGGGAAGTCCCGCACACGGGCGTGTGCTTTGTGCAGTAGTGATTGTGGTAGTGAGACAAGAGGGCAGGACAGGATGAGGTCTACAGTGGAAGAATCATTTCTCCCCTAATCCCAAGGACCTGTTCCCTCCAGGGATCCTTGGCTGGTAGCCAAGGGAACCACAAAAGACAACAGATGCCCAGGTCCCCAGACGGGCCTGAGCGTGGCTCTGAGCTATTGTAGTAATTCTGTCATCCGCAGCTCAGAGAAAAGCAAGAGAGCTTTGAGGACTTCTTGTGCAAAAAAAGCAACCAGACATGTGGGTGCAGGCCCTTAGCAGGTGACTAATGAGGCTGTTTGTGTTCTTTCGGGAATGGGGCCGGGGGGGGAGGGGGGGGCGCTCCTGAGGATTCTCCTACCCCTGCTCTTTGTTTCTAGATAATGAAGGCTGTCAGCAGAGCTTCCTACAGCTCTAGGTGCTGGCCTGCTCCCTGGGGACTAAGGGGAGGCCTTGAGGACTGTTTTCAGTTGACACACAACGCCTGGGACATACATACTCCTCTTGGCACAGAGGCCTGCTCAGATAAGATCATGGAAAATGGACAATCTTAAACTGACAGCAAATAAAAAGCTGGAGGGAACTTTAAGGCAATGCAGCCCAAACCGGTTTGTTTGTTTGTTTGTTTTCCAAAACCGGATTTTTAAAGTTGGGGCAACCAAGGCTCAGAGAGATCATTAGCAGTTGACCTGGAGCTAGACTCAAGAATTCTGATAGCAAGTAACAACTGGGAGCTGGCTCTGGAGTACACCATTGACTAGCGATGTAGCCATGACAAGTCACATAATTACTTGGTGTAAAATAATTTTATTCCTTACCTCACATCATACTCAAAAACTACTTCAAAGTGGATCAAAAACCTAAATATAAGAGCTAACACTATAAAACTCTTAAAAGAAACTATATATATATCTTCATGACCTTAAGTTAGGTAAGTTAGACTCCACAAAAATTTAAAATGTATATGATTCCAAAGGCACCAATGAGAAAGTGAAAAGACAACCCAAGGAATGGGAGAAAATATTTGTAAATTGTATATCTGATAAGGAACTTCTACAAAGAACTCTTACAACCCAATAAAAAGACAAATAATCCAATTTAAAAATGTGCAAAGGATTTGAATAAATATTTCTCCAAAGAAATAGATAAATGGTCAACAATCACATGAAAAGATGTTCAGCATGAATAGTCAAGAAGGAAATGTAACTCAAAACAACGATGAGATACCACTTCGCACACACAGGATGGCCACAATAAATAAGACAGACAATAAAGAGTGTTGGTGAGGAGCCAGTTGGTTGAGCATCATCCCCTGCATGGATGGGGGTGGAGGGG